GGACGCGTCACCGTCCCCGGGCAAAAGTGCCCACCCGAACATATTGTTCGGGTTGTGCGGGGAGTGAGGAACGAATATTAATCGCCCACACGCTAAGGCTAGGTATTAGATGATAAAACAAATTTGGGCGATTGAATATTCTCAGACACACATGCAGCCTGAACGACTCACAGAGTTCAGCACAATTCAGAGACCCGCACTATTTATATAGCCAATGGACAATACCAGCAATTTACATGTGCTGACATGTGAATCTTCAAGATTTAATCCCCCTCAGGTTTTTAAGAAGGGGTATGAAACGAATTTCACAAGGGATCGCCATGCTTTGCAAACAAGTCATCAAGAAAGGCAGTACAAATAATCGGTACAACATAAGGCTTTGACAATCTCTCTCTCTCTCTCTCTCTCTCTCTCTCTTTGCTTTGCCTTGCTTCGAGGTAGGACGTCTCCCTCTCTCTCTCTCTCTCTCTCTCTCTCTCTCTCTTTTCTTTCGCCAGGGCTATGGACACAGGAGTTGCCCCCTGTGCCCGCGCGCTGTCGCGCCCCCGACCGTTTTGGAGGGGCTTGAGTGACGCAACTGCACAACGAAGGCTAGTATGCTCGACGCCTGCAAGTAAACCAAGGAACAAAAGATGGAAATATGCACACTACGGGAAGTTTCCCCGGCATCGAACATGATAGTCTTCCCAGTCAATGATCAAGCAAACTGTGATCAGCTCACCTAAGTCGGCGGGGAGAGCAACAACTACAAGAAACAATTAACAGGAACGATGTGCAATAAAGCTGTCCCTACAAGTGCAAGAAGATGTACCCTCCCGCTTCAATGGCTGATCGCAGGGTGGACGCTAGATTGCGCATCCACCTTCCAAGCTGCACGTGGAAATCAGCAAGGCGATGAGCAGGCAGGACCGTTGAGGCATCAGAGCAAAAAGGGGCACTCTCTCTCTCTCTCTCCCTATGATCACTTTGAACCGTCGGCGCAATTCTAGACTCCCCATCTAACCTTATACCCGCATCTCTCGCACCAGATGTTACACGAGAATTGCCTACCACTCTTTCGAGCAGAGCTCGGGATCCAGGACTCGAGAGCTAAGCTCCCGGCGGTGGCGCTTGGAAGCTGGCATCATGCCTCTGCTCGGTTCAGCTTCGAGAGCGGGCAAAGACTGGCAGGGTACAAAGTTTCCCCCCATCCGAAGCTTGGCCCGGGGCTCGGGGAGTCCTGCCTGCGGCTGTCAAAAGGCGCGCAGTGCAGGGAGTCCATCCTGCATTTCGGCGCCGGGCTGCATGTTAGCAGAAGCGCATACGCTCGGAACGTCCTACGAACCTGCTCCGCGGCTGCACTTCTCACAGATTCAGATGCGAGCCAGAAGCAGTCCTATCTGCCAGTAGCTCCCCCGGACGCTTCGCATTCGTGGCCTGAAAAGCCAAAGCTGGTGGTGAGTGGTAATGCAGCGACATCGTCGTTCATCACAGAATCCCAAGCCTCATCGCACAGCTGCACGTCTGACATGCAGTCTCAAGCCATGGGCTGATAGCGACGCCCAACAGCGCCGGCACTGCAGAATCCCGCTAGTTGTGCTACGGATGCTTCGCTCGGCAAGGCCTGCAGAAGTACTCAGCTCTGCCAAGCTTCAGCTTGGTATAGTTGCTGATAGTGCTATGGCTGGAAGCGGAACAAACCGCCGCTTGCACTAGACGCAGCAGCTCCAAGCCCAGCATCGGGCGAAGCATTCGAATGTGCATCCAAGCATGGCAACATCAACAGACAAGGACGAACAACTCTCTCTCTCTCTGACTTTCAAGATCTGAGGGCCGAAGACGCCACACATACTCACGCAATGCAAAGTAGACCACCAACAGGACGTGCGACCTCGCTTTCTATCTCTCTCTCTCCCTCTCTTTCGTTCGCTCTTCCACGCACAGCCTGCAGCCCAGCAAATGCTGAAGTCGGTCGGTCGGTAACAAGGACTCTGAAGGACAAGAACCTACAAACACAAGACGTGCAAGCCCAGGGAAGCCTTAGCTTTAAGGTGCTAAGCCTCCAGGAGGGCAAACCAGAGCAACCAACCCCACGGCCAACAGCACAACCACCTCAAGAGCCGTGATAGGTTCTGGATACACCAGCAAGAGGAAGATTTTGTTGTCGCGCTAGCATGTGTTTGTTTGGCGATGACGCGGGGTACAAGGAAGTGCATTTAATGTGGCCTAAGCTAGCAGAGGAAGTTCTGTGCTGTCTTCAACATACGAAGGGGTTCACAAGCACACGCAGGCAGAACTGCTGGATGCGACAACCTTCCGTCCGGGCGCAGTAGAGGTACAGCCAGGACATCAATCGGGCAGAATCTTTATGGCAGTTCGGATTCCAAAGACTATGCTGCAAATGTTGGCCCCCGTGTCCTATTCTCCGGTCATGCTTCGCAAAGTAGCAAATGGAATAACAGCATGGATACTAAACCAACCAGTGATGTCCTAAGTCATTGCGCAGTGCCTTCGAAAACAACAGCCACGATAACAATGTTGCATGGATAGTATCTTCATAAATCATGGAAAATCATGTACGAGTTCTCAATTCTCGTACATGTACTGTCCTCTCCCGTTGATCTTAAGGCCATCGTATCCCGGAGCGGTGAACATCATGAGATGAATCGCCAACAAGAAATCGGGATGATTGTAAGTCAATTGATATTTGGACAGGAAATATTACTGTCGCCCGGCTATGACTCTTGTTGCATGATCATGCAACAAGTCCCGGGACACAGCACCTATCTTGCTATGAAAGAAGAAATTCTCCGCTTGTTGAGCATTTGACCGTCGTTTCGATCAACAGCGATGGGTCATAAACTAACAATAACGAGGCTAGCATATCGGTCTTTCTTCCATCGCCCACTACGCAAGTGGTTCGACTGCGCAGGCTCCACTACAAGATGCTGCAGGAAATCATCTGGATCATCCGCTTCGACAAGCGAGGGGCAAAAGGCGCAAAGAAGGTTCCGCGCTCAACACCAATAGTCTGACGTCACGCTGGCCTGGGCCCGAACAGGCTAGAGCAGATGAAAAGCGTGATGTGTGGCCGGCCAGGCCAAGCGGAAAGCTTTCGCAAAACCCTTGGTCGAGCGTTTGCCTCGAGCGCCAAAGACGGCCTGCCTGCAGGACCGTACGAAACCCAAATCTGTGAAGCAAGCTTTTGGTCACGATCTGTGACGGAGGCGATGTCTTACTTCAACCCGGTACTTTGGTGCCCTCATTCTTCAGTTTGGCCTGATGGCACTCAGCGCGAATGGAGGCAGCTCGAGTGCCTTAACATCCAACCCATGCCATGACATGCCATGACCTTGCCAAGCGAGGCCGCAATCTGCTGCCTGCAACTGCATGCCCACCTATCGAGTCTGGCTGCTTGATGGCGTCGGGTCAGTGTCCATACCGACTCCTGTTCATCTACGGCTACAAAATCGTGGGCTCAAGCAGTCGCATGCCGAGCCTCCCGCTTTTTAGCAACAGTTACCCTGTCCCACTGTCCGGTGCAGCCTTTCATATCAGGAGTGCTTTGCTCTTGTTCTGCTCGTCTCCTGTGCTCCAGTTCACCTCTGGAACCCTACTGAGCATGTGCAAGCCCAGCAAGTCTGATGGCCCGGCACTGCGCAGCGTAGCTGTCCAGCCCCGAGATTCGTTCGCACCCAGTGTGAATATGAATTGGCCCTGGCCCGAGCTGCACGCTGGCATACAAAACAGGTGCAGAGAAGGTACCCCGTTCACCAGCAAACAATGTTACAGAAAAGCACATTGCGAATATGGCGCAGCGACACCTTATGTCATGCTGGCCATCCCAAAATTGGGCCCGAACGAGGCTGTTGAGATAGAGCACATGGAATTGTGGCGTGTCGCGCGGCCAACATCCATTGTTACTTCAACCCGGTACTGTGGTGCCCTCATTCTTGAGTTTGGCCTGGTGGCACTCCGCACGAATGGAGGCAGCTCCAGTGCCCCGACATCCAACCCATGCCAAGACCTTGCCAAGCGAGGACGAACCTTTGGCTATCCGAGCGCCGCATCTGCTGCCGGCCACCTATCGAGTCTGGCTGCTTGATGGCGTCGGGTCAGTGTCCATCCCGACATCTACAGCTACAAATTCGTGGGCTCATGCAGTCGCATGCCGAGCCTCCCGCTTTTTAGCAACAGTTACCCTGTCCCCCTGTCCGGTGCAGCCTTTCATATCAGGAGTGCTTTGCTCTTGTTCTTCTCTTCTCCTGTGCTCCAGTTCGCCTCTGGAACCCTACTGAGCATGTGCAAGCCCAGCAAGTCTGATGGCCCGGCACTGCGCAGCGTAGCTGTCCAGCCCGGAAATGTATACCGGATGCTCAAGATGCTCAAGTTGAGACAAATAGCTGCAAATGCTCGCGTCACTCTGCAAACTCTCACACTTGCCTGGGGTCACTGGGCCAGCTTTGCCTTGGATGAACCATGCCCGATCAAGTCAAGTGCTTGCTTGACACCGCAGAACGTGCTTGAAATTTGAGGCCGACGCAGCTTGCTGCATCACTAACTGACAGCTCCTATGGGAAATTGCAACCGACCCACATCACAGCTGCGCCAACTTCTGCCACGAGCTCACATTGACGCTGCCAGTATCAGCTCTCTGCAATGTGGAGGCTGTTGCAAGCTTGCAAACTGTCGCACATGCTTCCAGTCACAGAGTCAAGGCCCATTGTGCTGCAGGAGTGCCTTTCTGCCGCGCTCTTCTCCGACATCCGAGGTTGGCAAGTCAAAAGTCAAAACATGACCATGCCCAATGGCCAGAGACTGTGCAACACAGCCGTGACGCGAATGAAGGCGCGTGTCTGGCGTCAACCTGCCCTGCTCGTGCCGGGGCGGGCCGAATCAACCTTTGCCAGAAGCTCAGATTGCTACAAGCACGTCTTGGCTCCTGTGACCTCGCCTGTCAGACGAGCTTGCAGTTAGTGCCGTGGCCGCGGTTTGGGCCAACCGCACCAGTGTGCATCTAACCGCGCGGTGTTTCCGAGTATCCCGGTCAATCTCGCTTCCGGACAGTGCAGATCAAGTGCAGCAACACGGTGCAGAATTGAAATGCAGCGTTGAAATGCGGTTCACCCGTCTCGCCAACGTGACCGGATCGAGGCTAAGGCTGGCTACGTCAGCCTCTGCCAGATGCTGACGTGTATGCCAATAACCCTCTGCTTCTGAACTGCATAAACATCGCGTCACTCTGCAACCTCTCGCGCTTGCTTGGGCTAGAAGCGGCGATTGTGACCTATCACACCAGAGTGCAGCTGAGAAGATGCTAATGGCGCGATTCCCGTAAGGCAGATTGCCTGCTTGATGCTGTGCAACACAGCTGTGCTAAATAGAGGGGTTTGACTCCGTACGGCTTCCGGCCGGTTTTACTCTTTAGACTGCGTGTTCGCATTTGACATCAACATGATCTGCTCGTGACTGCGTCAACCTCTGCCAGATCATCATATTGACACAAGCGGCTCTTTGTGCATGTCAGGGCAGACAGCACTCAAAGAACCCATGGAGACATGGAGATGGCCGCTGGCCAGCCTCTGGCGTGTCAAAAGGTCTCCGTGCTGGCATACTGGCGCCCTGGGCTCTGTCGGCTCACAAAGCCCTCGAGTCGAAGGGAAACCCAGCGCGGGGGGCGTTTTGGAGTCACTCCCACGGCTTTGCAAAGTCTCACTCCTGGCTGTCACGGCCACTCCGTGACAGGAGGTTGATGATGCTTTCGTGCCGTCCGGTCATCTTCAGCACGTGCCAGCCCGCTGATGCGCCATCAACCTGCTTGTCGGACACCGCGCAGCTCGGGACGGCATGACATTGTCCTGGAATGCGTGGGTTCGCCCCTTTCCGTCACCATCTCGTGGGTTACATCAACCGCCAAAGACAGCCAAAGCAGCTAAGGCAGCTAAAGTGGATTCACCGATTCACCCTTCCAAACTCCACGAGCAGTCTCTGCTACGAGGTCTCCGATTCCGAGGTCAGGATTGCCTGCAGGCTCCCGGAGAAGGAGCATGCGGCACGTTCAAGGTGCGTTCGGTCCAGTAAGAGTTCATGTCAGCATATTTTGTAAGCAACTGCCCAAAACCGAGTGCTGCGGGAGGAGTTGCAGTTTAACACCTTCCGAGTATCGATGAGTGACTGGATAGTCCACCTGCAACCACACTGGCGATGCATTGTACAGGGCGGATGTCGCCTTCTTCATGAGCTCCTTGCCTTCGCCTTTGCTGTCTGGTCCGGCAACTCCTTCAGGCCACAGACCCCAGCGGCCCTAGCGCAATCCTGAAACGTAACTCCAGAGCCCGATCGGCCGACGCCTGGACAGAAAACTGCTGCCGCATCTTACTTAAATGATGTTGACGGACTCGCCTGTTGGTGCCACTGCGTGCTACTGGCGAATGATTTTGTAATGATTTTGTGCTACCTGGGTACTGCTCTTAGTGTTCCCCAGAATAATTGGGATGCAGCCTCCGAAGCATGGCACTGCGCACGAGCTTCGCAGAGGTGCCAAGGCGGGCAGTTGCCTTCTGCCGGACGGATCATGAAGATTGGGCTCATTGAAAGACTCGTGTCTCCCTGACTTCAGCGTGCACGTGAAAAAGTGGTGGTAAGTGCATGGAAGACAGCAGACTCTCACAGTAACGAGGCAGGATTCTCTTATCCAAGCCGGAATGGCCGGACCTGCTACGTGAACGGCATGCCCTCATCACGGAAAGGGACGCAAACATCGTGATATCATGCAGGCGCGGCTGCCCTCAAGAAAACTTCATGTGGCACGACACATGCCCGAACCGCAGGCCAAGACTTTCGTTAGCTGGATCCCTTGAGAAAGCTGTCGGCAACGAGCCGCGAGAACATGCTTTTTGACAGCTTTCGGCGCCTGTCCCGAGGAAAATGAGCCAAGCGAACCGGGCCCAGGCGGTGGTACCGGAAGCGTCTCAAGCGACCGGTCAACTCAAAAGGAAGCGAAAGCTTTGACGGAACTTGCCAGTTGCGGCGGCATCTTGACATCAATCCTTCCAGAAACACGGCTTGAGATCCGTACCAAGCTCGCCGGGAACAGCTTGATGCCGCATCTGCATGGTTGAAGGGGACGAGTGACCTTCACGCACTGCGAGTCCTTAATAAGCTGATGACCTACAAGCTCGGAATGCAACTGGAGCGCGTGTGCTCAGGCCGACTGCACCGCTGGCGGTTGGCTTTGCTGCCGGTGCCCAAAACAATCCTGTTTGATGCATCCACCCGCTGTCACAACCCTGTCCTTGAGGCTCCGGACTCGAAATCTCAGCGAAGCAAGGGCGCGGAGAAAGCCGAAAGGAAGGACGCAGCTCAGGGAGCTCAGCAAGACTTCGGCTCAATCGCAACTCTCGAGCAAATCAGCGACGTCCGGGATGATGAGATAAGGCAAAGATCATCATCGCAGCGGTTAGCGCGGCTGCACCGCGGCTAGGCCAA